CAGAATATTACGGAACACAATTGGTTTAAGGCTTAAGGGAAAGAACGCTGAACCCAAACGAGAATAGAATATTAACATTTTCGTACATATTTTTTGTATTAATTGTGCACATATTGGGCATATGACATACTCGTACCTACATAATATATAGTAATACGATTAAAAATAAAAACAAGAGCTATATTTAATGTAAGATAATATGATTGATCCAACATTTTAATATCATGCACGATGTATTAATAGCAAATATCTAAAGATACACGGTTAATACACTGTCTCCCTTAAAGTACGGAACCAATTTCCAATTTTCGGAAAAGCATAGTGGCCAAATTTCGAGTCATAAAAATGAACTAAAAAGGAAATAGGAATAAAATGTCGCCCGTTGACTTAGCGAAAAGTCGGATAAAAGAGGAAATAACGATTTTTTTATGGTTTTTAAAGCACGTTTTTGTGCTTATTTTATATATTATGTAGTAAAGTGAATATTGCATTTTACTACTGTATAAATATACAAAATAACATATTTAAATATTATTTATACTACTAGGAGTCTTGGATTATACCGCGATGCACTAATTAATTTTCTTTAAATAATGGAGTGATTTAGTTGAAATCGTTTTCTGAAGCATTATAACCTCTCTCCTACATATACATATACTGAACATATTTCAGAACAAAGAGATAATATTATTATTGCTCGATTCTTCATTTACGCCTTGAGCGGCTTGTATTTTATACAACAGGCAGTTATCCATTCATTTAGGGTCCTACTCCATCTGCTATCGCCATACTCAGCAGCTTGTCTTGTCCTTACCCACTTTATTAAAAGGTAGCAACGCATGTGGCACCCTGTGGATCTTGCAAATGTCCACGGGCGGAGGTTATCACTTAACATCACCAGACCTGCCAGCCCATCTTCTCACTTAAAAAATCTTAAGATGAAACATTAAATTTGTAGAAAAATGATTTTTAGGAATTCAAATCTTATCATTTTCGACACAGACTCGAGGTTGAAATGTTATATAACTGCATTGGTTTTAAGTAAGTAAGTAAGTACCACGACCTCACAGAAGACCAGCGTATAACAAATACTTTCGCGTTTCGTCTGGTGAGTGAGGTAGCCGGAGCCCAATTTTCAAAAGGTTGTCAACGCATCTGTAACCCTCGGGTGTATCAGATGTCCATGGGCGGCGGTATTCACTTAACATCAGGTGAACCGTCTGCTCGTTTGGAAACTTTTGGGTTATTGTTGAATGTCTCCAAACCTATATAAGATATTCCAAGTGTGGCTTAATAAGTGAGTTGTATATTAGTTTTCTAATTTGGGAGCAGAATACCGGACAACTCTGAAGGGAATAAGTGTTTCTACATAAATATATTTACTGCGTCTTGATTCGCCTCGATTTGCAGGGGTCTTTATCCCACTTATCAGACGTAGTTATTGTTCCTATATCGCATCTAGATTCAGGGTAATATTTTATTTTTCGTGCTAATTGTAAACAAGATGTACTTTAAAGGTAAGGTAATGGATAAATTGTCGAAGTTATTTTAATTCTGAGTTAAAACGGCCGTTATCGTTACGGCATTACCATTTATAACATTATTCCCAAAGTCTAAATAAAAAGCTTACTTTATCCATATTACGTCATTAATTTGATTTAGCCTTACCATACCAGCCTACAATCATATATTGTTGTAGCAGCGCCAAAAATATTAATTAATTCTTTTAATGGAATTAAACAATCCCATTGTTCGTAATTCAATCCATTTGTTCCATAAATCGATGAGTGTAAACGTTTACGACAAATAATACAATAAATCTTGAGATATTTCACAAATTATTGTCTTTTTGTTCATTTTAACAGAAACATTTCGTAATTTCAGATAATCCTACGGGATTACTGAGTGAAAACGCGGCGAGTTGGTATTTAAGGAAAAAATTCAAGCGAGAAATTCTCTTCCGTAAAACAGAAGCAACTTCTGAGTATAATTATTATTAGTTAAAAAACAATGCACCAAATGAAATAGAATACAAACAGAATACGCAAAAGAACGTATACTTATTGCAAGTACATGTGCGTATACACTAAAATAAAATGAAAGCAACAAATTTCTTTAATACCCATTAAAACCGATTGCATGTACGCAGAACTAAATGAGATAAATAATATTAAAAAATACTATTTCTCTGCGCCGTCTTTCCCGTAACAATAAACGATTTAAATAGTTCGGTTGTTACAAAATATTACGCGAAGTGATAAATGCTAAAATGAAAGTAATGAAAAATTTAATACTGAAATAGCATTCGACTATAAGCTTCTGAGTAGGCCTCCGTCCGTCTTAGCAATAAATAAAAATTTCAGCATAGTCTTAGCTTCCAAACGACTCAGTTTGGCTCAACACCAAATTCCAAATGGCTTTCGAAAAAACCTTAAGGCTTTTAGGGGGCTTCGTATGGAGATCTTAGGGTACATATTATTTAATAACTTAAATAGGTATGAATTTAATAGTTTCTATTATTATACTATACCTTATAATATAATTCAGCCGTTGGCTAAGGGTGTATGTTTTAGGGACTGAAAGAGAAATTCATTGTATTTCATTGAATATCTCTTTCATTTCCATAATTTTAAATTTATTATGTCAATTCATAATCCCATAGTCTAAGGTTTCAGAGGGTGCTTTGCAAATATAAGGTTATGACTACGACTAAAAAAATAACTCTTTAATGTAACTTATTTAAAATAAACATTTTATTAAAAAATTAATATGTAAATTTGTTTGGATACATTTAGACTTATGAAACGACTGTTACTATTAAATAGATTTTATTGACGGTGGTTTGATTATTATTTTTAACGGTGGTAGAGCCACGCAGCAGCCTCGGCTGTTGCACGAATGGGCAGGCTCGTCCGGGTAAGTACCACGACCTCACAGAAGACCGGCGTAAAGTGGAAGTATGACAAATACTTTCGCGTTTCGTCTGGTGAGTGAGGTAGCCGGGGCCCAATTTCCAAAAAGGTTGTCAACGCATCTGCAAACCCTCGGGTGTAGCAGATGTCTATGGGCGGCGGTATTCACTTAACATCAGGTGAACCGTCTGCTCGTTTGGCAACTTTTCACATAAAAAAAAAATTGAATACGAAACGCGAAGTAACGGTTAATCCTATGAAATATCGTGTACTTACATTTCTTTGAAACAGATATCGCTGCATATACATAAATCTTCATATAAATCAACATAACAAAATAATCATATAATTGAAAGGTATAAACGGGTATATTGCAAAAAATCGTATAAAATTATAACCCACAGCTTACTTGCGAGATTAAATAGTGTTTAAAATTAATATGTCTCATATATAAATTCTTGGAATGATTACATAAAAATAATGTCGACACATTTAAATAACTTAAATAAATGCAATAGAACGATTAAAATAATTACATTCTTATTAAATACTAGCTGTGCCCGCGTGGAATTTAAAATAAATAAAATTACTAAAATAATAGTAGCCTAAGTTATCCCCTACCGACAAAATCGGTCCAGCCGTCTCAGAGATTAGCCGGAACAAACAGACAGACAGAGAAAAATTGTAAAAAATTTTTATTTTGGTATATATATATATGTACCGTGTATACATCCATACGCATTTAGTAAAAGACGGATAATTTAATGTTAAAATCAGACACTCCACTTTTTTTTATCTGTATATAGAAAAAGTGAAAAAACCCAAAAGCCATTTCCACCATTGGTGAATCCGTCAGAATTTAAACTAGGGAGCGTGATGAATTTAAAAATAAAGGAAAATTCCAAGCTTTCAAAAACGAAAAGAATTGTAAGGTTCTCTCCATAAACGGATTTCCTGCCTTTGGTAAGCTTCCTTTTTATAAAATGAAATTGCTCATTTTATAATTACGGTCGCCCTCTTTTGATATACGTCTTAAAACAATATTTTTTTGTTCTAAACTAAATATACTTCATCGTTGGTTTGTGCAACGTTACACAGTTACAATTATAAAAAGAAAACAATCACACTAATACAAAACAATATAGAAAGTGGTATGTAGCCAAAGAGACAGTTTATTATAAAAAAATAAGGGTATTTTGCAAGTCATATTGATTAAATACTAGAACTAAGAATAGAGTTACTGTTGGTTTTTATAAATTTGGTGGGCTTACACAAACTTCTGATGATAAGTGCATAATCTGTCTACTGTAGTACATATGTGTATAAGTGTCTAAAGTTAAATATTCTATGCTCCTTACAAGCCATTAATGGTATACGTTGGCAATCAGTTCTACAAATCTGCCCCTTCTTAAGCTAAATGGAACAACAGCTGCGCACTACTTAATTCAGTTCCCTCCCTACTGTTTCGCCTGGATTTCGTCCGTTGCTCAGCGCGACTTTAAGTCTCAATTTTGCACATCATAATTACCTAAGCTAATATTTGGCTTCATTTGTACTTCATTTTATTCAATATATGCGCTCTACTAAAGAATTTTCTTAACCAACTTTGAAATTAGATGTCTGTAAGATGATGACAGTGTTGAATATTTTCGAATATTTTCGCGTCGTCTGCCAGTGAGGCTTTAGAAATGCCTCTTTAATATAATTTGAAAGATTACGAGGTTCCAAAGCCTGCGTAGTACTAAATTTAATAGTCCCTTTTCCTGTTTATTTTTACGGACTAATGTAGTTTGTGCACCGCTAGAGCCATGGATTTGTGAGCGGATAATCCTCCGCCGATTTTGAGGGGGCGGCAGGAGGGTCCGTATCAGCAGATATTTCTTGTCTACGGTGCTTTAGGATTGCGATAAATATAGTAAGAATTGTTAGCGTCCTGACCGGATTTTTTATTAACTATTAATATGTTTGCTAGTACCATAAAAACCCTTACATATTATGCCTCACGGGAAAATTAGCGATTTCATTGACATACCAAGATATATTCAGTTCGATTATATGGGCTGGGTGACTAGTAACCTCCTAACTTACCTAGTGCCGGTTACAGGCTGCCAAACGGCGTCAAGGGGTGCGTGCGCCGGTGGTGGTGGCTCACCTCCATCGCCACCAGTCTCAGTCCTCCCCTCCCAATTCTGCAACCAAATATAATAAACAACGCTAAAGCCCTTTAATCAAAATCGCTTTACAAAATTAATACAAAATTTGTACAAAAATGGACGAAGAGTTTTGTCAGGTGACACAGATCTGGACGCAAGTTTTAATCCTCGCAGTTGCGCAAAGCTTTCTGTCCATTTTAAATTTCTTCTTAAATCCACAAAATATTAATATGGATAACAACAAGATAGTTATCCAAAGTCCAAAAATTTAACTATGTAATCTTCTAATATATAAAAGGGACAGACTGTGACCATGAACGCTGTAAAGGGTTCAAAACGTCGGGAATTAAAATTAAAAAATAAACGCGATAAATCCGTAAAAATTAGTTTCATTTATAATGTGTAATCGCGTAAATACAAGAAATTACTCTATACTTTATAGATCTATTTTATGTCTTAAAACAAAAAGTTAAAGTTAAAAAAAAATAAGGAAAAGTTAACAGCCTAAACTATAAGTTTTCGTGTGTCCACAATAGTACAGGTTAGAATTACAAATTTAGATTAAATTAAAAATTTTATATATTTCTCTTATAAAGTTTCAACAGTCAACAATCTTTCGTGCGCAGAGACAGAGGAAGCAGGCAACAATTCTTTCAACGGAAAGAGATAATCGCTGTATAATTTTCATTTAAACCGTCTACTTAGTTTCACTCTGGGCGAGAAAATTCACAGCAAATTTAATAACACAGCTAGGTACTTATTAAGCAACGGCTTGCGAGAGCACCGAAAGCTCAAGTAATTTCCCGCGCCATCGTCGTCGCGGATTAAATACCACGCTTGGCTGGAAAACAATGCTTTGTGCGCAGATCTGATAAACCGAGAGCTAAATTGGTAAATGTAGTTGGAATACGATACGGGAAAACATTAATTAACTATTGAAAATCAAAATAGTATATACTTGTATAATATGTAATATTAATTATATAATAATAATAATTACTACTATCAATGATATGGAGGCTTTTGAATCTTAATAACATATAAGACAAATATAATAATATGTAACTAACTAAAACATTAAAGTTGCAAGAAGATTTTTATCCCCCATCCCCACATGCATACACCATACATGAAACGTAAGCCATGAAAACTGTACCTATGTCTTCTTTACAAGCTTTTTCCTCTTTAACCAGATTTTATTTGATTTTCTATTGCATTACATATCATCGCTTCCAAAGAATAACCAACCATAAATTAACAAAATATACCTTATTGGACTATTACGAAATGAATTGCTTATAAAATGTAGTGTACACATAACAAAACCACATAAAAAAGTATGTGTGTAATTATTATTTACGCACGTAAAAAGTTATAATTCTTTAGCGTAACAATAGAAAATAAAAACTATAAAAAATAATAACCTAAAATAATAAAAACTAAATAAATAACTAAAAATTTTATCCCCTGTGCCGGTACTCCTTGTTTGTGAAAAAGACATTTAATGCAATTTGTAACCGGCTATTTAACGGTTAAGTAACGTGGAACTCTAAGCAAATTACAAAAAGTTGTTATTGGTTGGCTACCATGGAATATCGTGAAGTTGGTGCATTTGCAACGAAACCAGCTTCATCATATTTTCGCATCAAACCGACAATCACAAACTGTCGATTTGCATGGTAAAAAAAAAATTACGCCCGGCCAACAAAAGTGCGAGTCGGACTCGCGCACGAAGGGTTCCGTGCCATTATCTATAAAAAATTTTTTTAATTCTGTATTTTATTATTTGTTGTTATAGCGGCAACAGAAATATATCATCTCTGAAAATTTCAACTGTCTAACTATCACGGTTAGTGAAATACAGCCTGGTGGCAGAGGGAGAGACAGACAGACAGCGGAGTCTTAGTAATAGGGTCCCGTTTTACCCTTTGGATACGGAACCTTAAACACGGCAGAAAAATGTAATTCTTTAAAAACCTGAAAATTTAGTTATTTAAGCCATACTTAGTGCTTAAAATTTGAAATCTCTTACTGACATAGCATATAGAATGACAATTAATTTTCGGTACTAATTGATTATAATCATTATCATCACATCAGCCTTCCACTGCTGAACAAAAGGATCGTCACTCCATCTACAAAGTTAAAATTTTAAAAATATGTTTTCAAATAAATCTGAATCTGCTGTAGCGTATACAAAAAAAATGACGCTGCAATAAACTACAATGACGTGACTTTTAAAGCGGCTCGTTTTAAATTTTAACAACAACTATTTTTCAAACATAAAAAAATATATTCCCTTAAATTTCTTTACAATTCTCATATGCAAGAGTATACTCGTAAATAAACATTAAACATGAATAATAGAAATAAAAACAACATTTTGTTCAATCTACCTTTAGATATGAATCGTAATTAGTGTCTTCAAAATTAAAACGTCGAAACAGTTGTTAATAAAAATTGGTACATTCGAATGGCATTTTAAAAGTCATGGTATATATTGTAATCTTTATATCCTTTTTGTTATTGCTATTTACATTTCCGTTATACCTAATGCATAATCCATGTTTGTTCCACAATTTCAAAGACATTACATCAGCTTTATATAAGAGGGAAGTTTTAAGCGCGAATTGCAAGAGAGCGAACTCTAAGCAATTCCGACCAACAATTACTGTTAACCTACAGTAATTGTAATACCTCTCTACAAATTTACGCTTAACACGTTGAGAGTATAAACATTTGATAAACATGAGCGTAGATATTTCTAATAAATTAATACATATATCTATATATTCAATGGATTACGTATGAGATAATACAAACATACTATTTTTTTTAGGTGAGAAAGTGGCAAGCGAGCAGGTGGGTCAACTGATGTTAAGTGATAAATGCCGTGATTTTGAAGAACAGTCTACTTAGCTTTCTTTCATTGAAACAAATTGTCAATAGATAGCATTATTATCGTACAATCTTTTAAATAATTTTTTATTAGGGAATATTTTATTTTAGAAACCACTAACCATATTCTACGTGTCTATTTTTATATAGTTTTTAATGGCCAATTTGATAAAGTATGCGAAGTTAGGCGTACTATATAATGGCGACTTTGAATCAGGAAATGTGATAAAGAAAATAATGAAGCTACGCACCAATTTTAATGTGGATAATACATAGTACTTAATATCGGAAAAAGATGCAGATAGAATAGTAAAATTTATTTTAGGTAGTTGCTCGTAACTTCTTCGAGCAAGGCCAAACTGGATAAAGAATTTTGAACTTTGAACAGTGTTTTATTCCGCAACAGTGTAGGAGAGTGTCACAGATTTATAATTTAGTTATAAGACTAATGTTAGTTGTTCCATTAATAATGTGTTTAGCAAAGTAATGAAACAATTTACCAAATGTGAGTCTGATAGCATCACACAGGAGTTATTTAGTTTATACTAAGATCAAGTAGAGCTTTTTAAACAAGCTACGACTACAACACTATGTATCACCAAGGCATGGTCAACACTACCTAAGACAGGTGCAGGTACGGGCATTCGGGAATCGAACCTAACTACGCTCTGTCCACGCTGTGTTTACGTCAGTTCGGAGTATGGCGAGATAATTAGGATAAGGGTGAGAATATGGCATTGGTAAGTGTTTACGTCAACCTATATGATCGTCGAAAGCGCACGTAATACTTAGTAGCTTGATTAATCCGTTCGACATCTGAACTTAAAGCTTAGCTTACTAATAATACTAGCTAAATGTTAACACGGTGTCAACACCTACTAGTGTATCGACATCCAAGGCCTAACTACTATCAAGGCCATCAAAACCATCGCTGCAAAACATATAAATTTTTGTCCACATAACGATGACGATACCGCGAGAATAATCATATATTGGCGGTTGTTCCCGCTGACACATTGTACAGTGAGGGTGCATACATATTTTGCGTGGGAGTACACAAACCTCAGTTCGAATCACAAGCCCCTTGCAATAACATCATTTCTGACGTAAGGTTTTGTTGCCTTAAGACTTTTCCTTTAGCGGGGGTACGGGTATTTTAATTAGCTAGTTAAGTTACCACAGTTACCACAGTTAGTACAGCTGCTTCTAGGGAAGCCTTTAAAGCCAAACTGGGTAAATAAGTTGGCATCGAAGACAGAAGTCCTTCATAGCAACTCAGTCATGATATAAAATTAGATGAGAATGCAATCATACAATAGCTTATTTTAAAAACTTCAGCCAAATACTTCCATCCTGAGATAGATCACCGTGAATATTGTTATGCGTTGTCTGAAAAAGCAATTTAATCTATCATTAAACCACAGAGTTTAAAGCTGTCCCTAGAGAAAAACGATTATTGTTTGAACGATGTGCCATACTCTTTAATTAACAGAACCCGTAAAGAATGACATCAAATATTATATGTGTATACTTTTTATAACATCTGTTTTACGTTTCTAAATCATTAACTCTAGATTTTACTATATACATTTTATCACATTATGATGGAAGAAAATATTGTCACTAATATTAAAAAAGATATCTTGATATCTCATGATGGAGTGTCGACCTGTGCAAATGTGAACCTGTGCAGGATCGTACTTCGAGGCTGTATGTAGGGAAGGTCTATGTTCAGCAGTGGACTCAAACAGGCTGAAACGATGATGATGATCTCATGATGACTCGGTGGCGGAGTTGCTAAGTCCGTCGCGGGGCAAGTATTTGTATGGCCCACACATTATTGTTCCGGATCTAGGTGTTTGTTCCGAAGGAGAGTTGACGTGAAGCAGTCGGCCGGTCGTAAAAAAGCCTTACGAACAACCACTTGATGTTGGCAGTGGACACCTCGTGGCTGGGATAAAAGCAGGAAGAAAGAATATGATTTATATTGACGATGCTGATTCAAAGAAAAGCCAAATTGCCTGTCTCAATATTTCATCGAAGACTGGACCGATTACAATCAGAATCACGCATTCAAACTCTTTTTCATACGCCTATACAGAATAATCACTTTTTAATAGAATTTAAAAGCAGATAAGATGACATGACATTTTCTCGTATTTTACAATTAGCTTATGTCCGAGCATGCATGTTCACATCAATTTTGTGTAAGAAACTTGTCGTTACTGAATGAATGACATGCATACGGGGGACTAACAAGCTAATATTCATGTCTAATAAAAGACACACATAGACCATCTTATAATAAAAAAACTTAATAAATGTCACAATTTTAAATACAATGCATTAAGTTATCATAAAAAATACTTCGAAGGTGTGTGAAATCGGCAATCCGTACTGGGGTAGTATGGCGGACGATGCCCTTTTGATCCCCTGCTCAGAGGAAGCCAATGAATGGCAGTAGGTCAAATAGTTTATACGATGATAAAACGATGTTATTTAAAAATAATATCTAACAAAGGATTACAAAAGTTCCTTATCTAAGTTTATTACTAATTACTTAAGACACTAAGGGGTTTCCAATCGGTCTGAATTTAGGATGACGAAAGGCCCCGCGCTTTGCCGGTGGTCGATTAAATTGAAGGAAGCACCGATCATTGCATAATTGACGCAGGTGCAGTACAATGATGACTGGGGTAGTAACAGACTGTTCTTTATTTTGCGTTACTATCAAATACAAAAATCTGTTTATAACCATTCTTCGTGTGATTGATATTTTCATTAATCTTTTGGAAAATTGTATCATAAAGGATTTGTGAACTACAAAATCGTTTCTGATCAAATATTCAACAGGATTTCACTGAGAGCCTTCTGAGCCCCTTTCTTCTTCTGAGCCCCTTCTGTAGCTGTTCTACTCTAAACAAATTGCTTTTTTTTAATTGTGGGTATGCAGCGTGTAAGCTTTTAGCAATATTAATACCGTAATAATGCTCATACCCATTAAGACCTGCTTGATTGAAAACAAAGTATAATCTAATCGTGTGTTTATAGATAATTATAAAAAACCGGCCAAGTGCGAGTCAGACTCGCGCACAAAGGATTCCGTGCCATTAAAACGGCAAAAAAATCATGTTTGTTGTATCAGAGCCTCACTTAAATATTTTTTATTCTGTTTTTTAGTATTTTTTTAAAATAGCGGCACCAGAAATGTACATCTGTGGAAATTTCAACTGTCTAAATATCGCGGTTCATGAGATACACCCTGGTGACAGACGGACAGACGAACAGACAGACAACGGAGTCTTAATAATAGGGTCCCGTTTTACCCTTTGAATACGGAACCCTAACAATGCTATCATCATTTTAAAAAAAATAATTACAATGAAATATGTGACTTTAGTTAAGTGCAAAGTTTTATCTCTCTTTCATTCGCGTAACAAAAAGCTTTCATTCAATCGATTTTATCCCCATTGTGACGTTGTTAGGTAGCTATTATACACTATTATCGACGCAATTAACTTTAATAGCGTTCGCTTTACTCATTGGCAATTCGTCCTTCACTCAACCTCACATTATGTATTATCTGATCGAATCCATTGAAGGAAAGATTGGTGACATAGTCAAGGGCAGACAATATTAGGTAGGTAAATAGGTTATTTAACAACAATAATTTTCTTGAAAATTTAGAACCTTATCCATCGTTGTATTAAAATCCTTTTTTTTTCTCATGGTCTGTCTGTTACTATAACTTTTAATTTAACAGATATCTTTGCTTTCCGTTCGTAGACTATTAAGACTCATCGAACGCAGAACTCGTGGGCTAGTTATAACTCTTCCTTTTTTGTTGACAAACCGTCCTACTCGTAGTAAGTACATACGTAATACGTATAGATGACGTCTGTCTGTCTTTCTGTCCATCTGTTGCTTTTAATTATAACATTTTCGCACAGTGAGGAAATCAACCCCTCAGACATTTACTTGATCTAATATAATCAAATATGCAAGAAAAAAAGTATAGGTAACATGCAGCGACGTTAAAAGATTCATGCATTTAATTTGCGGGACGAAATAAAAGGAATTTGAAACATTCAAAATTAATACTACTATACAATAGTTCTAATCTCTGCACTTAAGATGAAACATTAAAATTTGTAGAAAAACGGACGAAAACTTTCTCCTGTGGAAGTTGAACCTATGTCTTCCGGATTGGCAACCAGACGCTTAAACCACTAAACGGCTGATTCCCACACCGACGAAAATGTCAACGACTATTATCTAAAGTATTTTAAAAAAAATGAAGAAAGTTCGTAGAAGGAAGAAACTACGAGAACAATGAAAAATTTTGAAAGGTAAACTTTCTGAACTTTATAAATATTATAAGGCTTAAATTAACGTGAAACGTGCCATGATAACAAAGTCCTATGTAAAATTAGAAAGAAAATTTAGCACTGTTAGTTATATAGAATTAACCAAATGTTGTGTTTACAGTCTTCAGATAATCCATTTTCACACAGAATCTAATCTTAGTGTAATAATAATAATGACTTTCTTTTATTGCATTACGGGTGTAAATCAGATTTTGAAAGAAAAATATTTACGAACTACTTAGAAACCTTCTCACACAAAGAGGCTTAAAGAGATATATCAGTTTTTATTTCAGTCATAGTCGTGTATAAACTGTAAGATAAATAAAAAGTATCGATTTAATTTTTCAATAAACAACACTGGAAAGGTTGCTTTCATTAAAACTTCATCAAGCTATAAGATACCCTACTTTTATTCATTACAGCGTTAATACACCAACATTTTCCTATTACCGAAATTTACTATTGTTATACTTCTTTGATACGACGTCATAAAATATCCTTCACTGCAGCGTTGAATCAGTCATTATTTATTTTGCTTATGTAATTTTAACCTTCTACCAACAGCCAGTCAATGTAATTATGTTATAAAACGCAAATTCTATACATTATTAAATGAAACTAATTTATTGAATATATTTATTTAATATTAATGGGCCAAAATGAATATTATAAAGATGACTGTGTTTGAAACGAGGGAAATATAAAATAAAAATTAAATGAAGTAACATATACGTAAGTTTAATAACTTTGATTCCAAA